CTTAAAATTATAAATCCGCGTCTTTGTTTTGAGTAGCTTATTATTTTTTGGTTTTCCATATCCACAAACCGAACATCTTTACTTCTTTGCTTGTTTTCTTTAGAGAACAAATTCTAACATCCTCTGCCAAAAAATTCCAGATTCTTTCAACTTATTGCTTTGATAAATCAACAAGAGAGGCTGTTGTGAGCATCATCAATGAACAGGCACCAGAAACTTCAAATATTCTAGAATATATTAAGGATGGAATCTTGCAAGAAAATTCAGAGGGAAAATATGAACAAGTGCCAATGGAAGAGGTTTGGCGTATGCTTTACAATGATTGCCTTTCTGCTTTAGAAATTTGTGTTGAAGGAGATCTCAAACATTTCCATAAAGCCAGATTTATGCTTGCTCAAGGGCTGTATAAAAGGGGTGGGATTGGTGATCTGCAAAGGGCAAAGGATGAACTTTCTTTTTGCTTTAAATCATCTCGTTCGAGCTTCACAATAAATATGTGGGAGATTGATGGCATGGTCAAAAAAGGAAGGTTTGACTACAATCCTACTTATAATTTATTTTATTTGGGATTACAGTTTACAGAATGCCACAAGTATTTTCGTAACTTCGGTTACTGCATGGTGATCAATTTACTAAAGAGCTCATATTTATGAGCTCACGTGCTTGAATTGCATATGCAGTTCTAACATGAAAATAGCATCATTAATGCTATCTTACTATCTGATATAACCAACAAATACTACTCACTCACTCACCCCCCCCAAACCCCCCTTCGTCTCTTCTTCAACCTCTCTTGCAAAGGCATGCTGTTTCTCTTTAGGCAACTAATCATGAAGGACTGCAACAGCCATGCTAATTGAACCACGGAGAAAATTTCTGGTGGTAGAGAGAAAATTTTATGACATAGCTGAATCATTGTATTACACAATTGTTACACTTACACTTACATAATTATTATACAACAGCATTAACACTTTTGTCATCGGCCATTGAATGATTGACATGACATTGGATTGACCATTAGTGTTTGAATTGGCCATGGAATGATTCTTATCAAATAATCTATTGGCTGGTAGGAAAAGGAGGCTCTAACAATGATTGCAGTGAGGTAGAGATTGGCATTGGAATATCACTCTTATTCAAATAGGAATGATTAGGAAGTGGATAAGTGGATCTCACTTTCGTCGTTGTTGAAATCTGTATCTATTCAGCCTAATTAGGATGACAGTCCAGTTTGGAAGTCTACTTAAAGGTGGTATTTTTTCAGTGGAACCTTTCTTGTCCCCCAAGTTCTCAACCTAGTTTTTGGAATGCTTCCCTTGGAAACAGGTTTGGAAAAAAGGCCTTGCCTTATGTTGCTTTTTTTTTTTAAATGTGTCAGAGGCTGCTTGGAAAATGATTTTAACCTTGGGTAACCTGGCAAGAAGAGGAGGATGTTGGTTAATGGCTGCTTCTTAATTCTAAATGGGTGGGGATCCCCTCATCATGTTCTTTTTGTCATGTTGTGAGACTAGAAGGCTTTGGGATTCTGCTTTGCTCTTCTTAATCTCTCCAGGGTGTGTGTGGTTCCTTCAAGGATGAAATAACAGGATTATCTCCCTCATCCTTTTATATATGTTTTAAAGTTATTTGGTAATAGAGAAATAGAAGAGTTCTTCAAAATTCGTCCTCACATTTTCCAAGTATTATATTTTGACCAATAGCAAACCCAATCTCAGATGCCACAATTATTGTTGATCTGTTTAATACTTTGTCTTTGAAAGACTTGTAAATCTTTTGTAATTGGGTGGCACACCCTTGATTCCTTTTCAGTGGATACCTTAAGTTGTTCTAGTTTCACTATTGTTGGTTTTATTAGAGTCATCTTATTATCAGTAGCATGATGCTTCCCTTACATGCTGTGTATATGTATCCATCTGCTTATCTATCTACATTTTCCACTTCTGTATTAGGCGTAAAACACCAGCTTTGGCAGGGAACAGAAAGGCCCTTGAAGTTAACTTACCAGAGAGTTCACGAAAATTTATTACTTGCATCCGGAAGTACTTATTATTCTATTTGAAACTTCTGGAGGAGACCAGAGACATCTGTACTCTTGATCGTGCATATGTGTCTCTTCGGTCAGATAAGAGGGTAAGAAGTCAACAATGTAATTGGTTTTTCTTTATTATTTTGTAAAGAGATTCATCATTTGCTTCTTGTTAGGCATGCATCAAGGGTTAGCAAGATGCTGAAACGGTTTCCTACATTCAATTTGTCTCTGAATTTGACCAGTGTCTAGGACTTTGTTCCTTCCCCCAGTTTCCTCAACCTCTTTGTTCCAACTAAGAAAAGAAAAGACAGTGACTTTTTGTACTTGAATGCCTTATCATAAGATGCAGTAACCTGTTTCCATTACTCTTAAAGTTGTATTAGTAAAAAAGTTTATTTTGATGATTTTTTTTTGGTTACCCCAATGAACTTCAGAAAGGCTACAACTCAAGTCATTTATGAACCCACGTAGGGGACATAACAACCGAGTGTAGCTCCGTTGGTCCGTTGGTTGCTTTGGTGCTTATATTATTTAATGTTTCTATCAATTCAAGCCAAGTCTAACTTTTGACTTGAATCCAGTTTTCCTTGTGCATAGAAGATCTTGTACCAGTAGCAATTGGGAGATACATCAAGGCCCTACTTGTATCTATGTGTGATGCTGATATATCTGGCTTTGGGACTTCAAACAGCTCTGAGCATCAATTAGAGAAGATATTTACTATCTTCATGGAACAAGGGACATTATGGCCAGAAATATGCAGTTTGACCGAGTTCAAGACAGCAGAAACATCTGAGAGCAGCTTATATGGGTAATGTGTGAACAACATATACTATGAGTTACTTTTCAAACTGAAACTTATTTGAGTTAGGACATAATGATAAAGAAGTTAACCCCTACTTAGGCAAACGCTTGTGAAAGGCATGATTAGATGACAATCACCCTAAATGAGTGATCAGGAGTCCATGCGGCGATTTGATTACTCTATGCAATACTTGTTATTCTGGAACTTGCCTTTTGATTTTTGTCTTACAAAATGGTATTACCCGCTTCACTCAAACCGCCAGGGAAAAAAGAAAACCAAAAGAAGAATGAAGAAGAATCTAAAATAAAAATTGAAGAACTGTTTTATGCCAATGTTTTCCTGGGAGATCTGATTTATTTGAGCTGCTAACAAGTATTAATTGTGATCTGTGCTTCATTTACAAGGAGAGAGGACATTTTTTCTACTGCTGCAAATTATTGTTTGTACTTAACAGCTATTTAAGAGTGCAGTGTAACTCTGTCTCAGTTCAATAATTCTCTCACAATTAATTATCTTGTTTCAGCTATCTCCACCAATACATTGTTTTGCTGGAGAAGAATGGCAAGCTAGAAATGCTTGAAGGAATAAATGATAAGCTCCGAAAACGCTTTAAGAATCCAAAGTTGTCAAATAGCAATTGTGCGAAAGTTTGCAGGCATGCTTCTGTTGCTTGGTGTCGTTCTCTCGTTGTTAGCTTGGCATTGATCACTCCACTTCAGTCCGGACTCCCAATTGACACTCAGATCAACCAGATGGATGGTGAAAATACTCCATTGCTTTTCATTGATATACAACCAAATGAAATATGGAATTCATCATTTGAGAACTCAACACAGCTAGATAGTCTTGAAGCAAAATGGAGCCCTACACTGACGAAAATCAAGAATTTAGCAGTCAAGAAGGTAGTAGATGACAAGTTGGAGAGTGCCAACTCTTTGCTAAGAAGTTCATACAACTTCTACCGGGAAACCTCATGTGTAATGCTCCCATCTGGTGTTAACCTTTATTTGGTGCCATCTCGATCAGTAACGGAAGCAAAATTTCACCTAGGTGTGGAAGGGGTTGAAATTCTTGATTTAAGTATTCCAAGGAAGCTTCTCCTGTGGGCTTTCACACTATTGCATGGTCGCTATGCAAACATTTCGTATGTTGTAAAGCATTGTGAAGAAATTGCGAAGGTATAGAAGCTAACTTTTTCCTTGATAATTTTTTCATTGATAATCAGTAGGATTTCAACATGTAGTATTATTCTGCTATTTGTTTTAGAGAGGAGTGATTGACTTGTAAAATAGACTTCTGATTTTTCTGTTGAAAATTTCAGTAGAAAACAAAGTGCAACATTTACAGCAGAATGTTCCCACCATATATTTAAACTCGGATGATTAGATTT